CTGGGGGAAATAGAGTGGGCAGATTTTCTTACTATTTTGCAATAGAGTTTGAACTTTCTTTTTCTGTTACAGTAGGTTTAGTGTAAAATATACTTGACTGTATTCCTGGCTATAACCAAATATACACTATCTGAATTTTTTCAGATTGATTATTTTAGTGGTGAGGACTAAACTTTCTGTATGCTAAGCATGTTCTCTGTGTTCTGTTATTTTAAATGTGAGTTATATTTCTTGAGTAAAAAATGTGAATATATGCAAGATTTAAGTATATCTGTTAATAATGTAGTTTTAATCTGGAAAGATGAGCAGATACACATTTTTTCTTTACTGTTCAGAAGATGATAAAAGTTCTAACTGTAGTAATCTTTGATAAAATTACAATTAGCTTTCTCTTACAAAAGACAGTCATTTTTCTCTTTCCCTTCCCATTCTTTTCCTCTCCACTCATCCTCTACCTTTCTTTACCTCTTTTTCTCTAGAACTTAAAATTATTGAAATATAGCCTATGTTTTATACACTTTGTATACTTGAAATGTCCTTGAAAACTTGATAATACCTAGGTAGTTTAAATATTTAAGTACTAAAGATTGCATTGCCTAGTCTTGTTCAGTTACCACTCGAGTTTTTTTTTCTTCTACTTTTTAAAAAGTATTTGCTGTCATTATAGAGGTGATGTTCAGAGGGGTTAGAGTTTCATAAGTTAGGTAATGAGTACATTTTTTTTTTGGACAATGTCACCCCTTCCTCTCTCCAAGTTTTTCTCTCCCATCCCCACCTATAAGTTGTATAGTTCATTTTCAATGTAGTAGGTTTTTTTGAATAAGTATTAAAATAAATGGCATATACTACATTTGAATACTGAATCATTCAGCTGTTATGGTTTGTTCTTGGGAAGCTCCCTATTGAGTTTGTAGTATAAATAGAGAAATAACCTACTTTTTTATCTAGCTTCTCACCCCTCATGAAACAATTTTTTCGAGTTAGTCACACTTTTTCCTTTTACTTAGGTTGATAAGAAATTTAAACCTTTGATGCCATATTCTCAATTTCAGAACACCTTGCCACCAAGCAAGTTGGCCCGAGTTTTAAATAGGCCTGAGAAGAAGGCAGGTGTATGTAATCTAACATAGTCTTTGAGACTATAGAATTGAGTATATCCTTCTAATGTTAAAATTTATTGTGGACTCAGAAAGCTGACGAAGCAATTAGAGTACATTCTAAGTACACAAGGTAGAAAGTATTTAACATACTACACAGGAAAGGAATAGTCATAACCTTTGGGTGAAGCTGGAGTCTTTATTAAGTGTTATCCATTAGTTTTTATGATGCTGGAAATGGGTATTTTTTAATATCTTGCTTTCTGATAGATTATTAATAAGAGTGAACACCTCTTTTTGGCATGCAGAAATGATTTAATCTGCATGATTTAAAATGATTTAAACTTTGTCTTCAATAAAGATGATTAAAACTTCAGGGAACCAGTACTTGATTTAATGCAATATGGTAAAACCTCAAAAAACCCTGGTTATTTTGTTGCCTCCAACTCTTAGGAGAATGAGAGAAAAGTTAGGCAAGAAGTTATTTTACATTTTACTTTATTCTTATTTTTTGTGCCAGTACTAAGACTTGAACTCAGAGTCTCATGCTCTCACTTAGCTTATTCACAAAGCTGGTGCTCTACTTCTTGCACCACACCTCTAATTTTGCCTTTTTGCTGGTTAGTCGAGATAAGAGTCTCACAGACTTGCCTTCCCAGGCTGGCTTTGAACCGTGATCCTTACATTTCAGTCTCCTCAGTGGGTAGGATTACAGACAGAAGCCACTAGTGGCTGGCTTCTGTATAGGTTTATTATAATTTCTATATGGCTTTTGGTAGGTACACTTTCAGGTGAGTCTCCAGTGCCTCATACTGCGTTATGCAGCAGTCACTGGCGACTGCAGTGGCCCTTAGTATTTCTCTGTTCTATGTATTTACTGATTTATTTTTTGTCGGTAGTGGGGCTTGAACTCTGGACCTGGGCACTGTCTCTGAGCTCTTCAGCTCAAGGCAAGTGCTCTACCACTTGACCCAAAGCACCACTTCTGGTTTTCTGGTGATTAATTGGAGATAAGAGTCTCATGGACTTTTCTGCCTGGGCTGGCTTTGGACCACAATCCTCAGATCTGAGTCTCCTGAGTAGCTAGGATTACGGACATGAGCCACCGGTGCCCGGTTATTTCTCTGTTCTTGAAAGGCTCAGAGGAGAAAGGTCTAAAAGTTTAAAAATAGTTTTCAGTAACAAGTTGAAATCATTGATTTTATTATTTAGTTTGAGTTAATTTCAGAAATTTAATTGGTTTCCTTCCTTGGCATTTGATTTCATTGTGAATAATAAAGCTTGTGGAGAAGATAGTTTTCAAAAAGGAAGAATGCTAGTTCTTTGAGAGCTTAATGTGCAACTATGTTCTATTTGGTGTTCGAGGTGGTAGCATTATAAGTGAATTAGCAGGTGGTTAGTGCATATATATATATATAGATATATATATATATAGATATATATATAGATATATATATCTATCTATATATATATAGATATATATATCTATATATATATCTCTATATATATATATATATATATATATATATCTCTATATATATCTATATATATATATATATATATATATAGATATATCTATATATCTATATATATCTATATATATCTATATATATATCTATATATATATATAGATATATATATATAGATATATATCTATATATAGATAGATATATAGATATATATAACTTAGGGTTTTTTTTTCTTTTTGGGTGCCGCCCCTAATCTTTGCTTTCCTTTCTCTCTCTCTCTCTCTCTCTCTCTCTCTCTCTCTCCCTCCCCCTCCCCCTTCCCCTTCCTCTCCCTTTCTTTTTTCTTTCTTTTTCTTTCTCTCTCTCTCTCATTCTCTCTTTCTTTCTCTCGTTCGTTCATTCTGCTAGCACTCTACCACTTGAGCTACAGTTTTACTTCTAGCTTTTTTGGCAGTTAATTAGAGATAAGAGTTTCACAGATTTTCCTGTCAGGGCAGGCTTTGAACCATGATCTTCAGATTTCAGCCCCCTGAGTAGCTTGGATTAAAGGCATGAGCCACCATCCAGCTAGTTTCTTAGTTTTCATAGAGCACAAAGGTTGAGATTTTAATTATAAGCAGTAAAATTTGCAGAGAGAAGAGGTTAGCAGATAGATCAGATTCCTAGACATAAGCATTTTATACTGTAAGAGATAGGATTGGTTTTTGTATTTGCTTTTATAATCTTAGTTTTACTAAGACTGTGACAGGTAGAAATATATATTTATAAATATATATTTATAAATATGTACAACAAGCAGTGTTACTAATGAAAAGATTACTAAGACTTTGATTTGTGAGACTACTTAGTTTTTGCCTCATTTCTACTAAACAACCTGAGTGATTTGGGGAATAAAGGCCTTAGCCTTTGTTTTCTCATCTGTCCAGTCAGGGAGTTGAGTTTGTGATCTGTCAGATCACAAAGATCATGATTCTGGGTTTTGTTTGTTTGTTTGTTGTTTTTTTGTCGGTCATGGGGCTTGAACTCGGCCTAGGTGCTGCCCCTCAGCTCTTCAGCTCAAGGCTAGCGCTCTACCACTTAAGCCACAGAACCACTTCTAGTTTTCTGGTGGTTTATTGGAAATAAGAGTTTCACGGACTTTTCTGCCCGGGCTGGCTTTGAACCACAATCCTAAGATCTCAGCCTCCTGAGTAGCTAGTATTATAGGTGTGAGCCACTGGCGCCCAGCTGAGGTTCTTAAATGTGTTGCTTAAACTCAGAATATTGTATCTATTGATGTGTATTCAACTCGAATACATCTCACCACCATCCCCCTCCCCCCGCCCCCTCCCCCCCCCACTTAGAATAGTAGTATAAGAACAGCAGAAGTTTTTTGCTGGAAGATGGCATTAGGACATGAGAGGATAAAGAGTTAATGGGGGAGAGACAGAATGGAGCAAGGGGTGGGATGCAAAGTGTGGCTGTGAGTGGTGGTCATGGTGCTGGGTGGTGCAATGGGGTCTTTGCCAGGAGAGAGTGGTGAGCCCACTTTCCCTATCTCATTTTACTTTAGGTTCTGGTCAACTGAGAAATGAATCCTTGTCTGTGTATGGCAAGTGAAAAGAGGAAATTTGTCTCAGGCTGAGGATGATTCATTCAGGGGAAGCAGAGGGGAGAAAGCCCAATTAAAAAATACCTCAGAGCTGGGAATGTGGCTTAGGGGTAGAACACTTGCCTAGCATGCATGAAGCCCTGGGTTCTATTCCTCAGTAACACATAAACAGAAAACGCCCCAAGTAGCGCTGTGGCTCAAGTGATAGAGTATTAGCCTTGAGTTAAAGAGGTACAGGGACAGTGCCCAGGCCCTGAGTTCAAGCCCCAGGACTGGCAAAAAAATAAAAATAAATAATAAAACAAAACCCCAAAACTCAGTTGGAAAGCTGTTCCCTTCCATTTGAGTGAAAATATGAGACATTTAGTAGTAATAATAGGGTTCCTGAATACCAGATGGAGAAATGTAGGATAATGATACTCTCTTGCCTTTCTCTACTTGGTAGAAATGGTGAGAAATCAAGGCAGATACTGTTGAGGAGAATGGTACTCATACATGCCTTATAAATGATCTTAGGGCTTTGGTGAACATATTTGCCTCACTGTCAGGGTCCTTTGGTTTTGAGGTAGTTGTACTTCCTTTATAGTCTTTAATCCATGTACTTGGGGCCTACCTGTGGAGAAATAAGGGAGGTGAACTTCCTTACATCTGTGCTGCTAGATGCTTTTCAAAAATGGCACACATTTCATATTAAAACATTTCCTTGCTGAATAATGATAGATGAAAAATAAGTTTTAAGCTAAATATTTTAATGTTTATAAGTAAAAAATTACTTATTCATATAAAAATATTTAGTCTTATGTGATTTTTACATACTTTCAGTTTATTTTTTGGTTTCAATAGAACAAGTTGAAATCATCGCAGAAGGATAAAGTTCGTCAGTTTATGATCTTCACACAATCTAGTGAAAAAACAGCAGTAAGTTGTCTTTCTCAAAATGACTGGAAGTTAGATGTTGCAACAGATAATTTTTTCCAAAATCCTGAACTTTATATACGAGAAAGCGTAAAAGGATCATTGGACAGGAAGAAGTTAGAACAACTATACAATAGATACAAAGGTGAGTGTTTGTAACTTTAAATATTTTGATCAGGTTTTCCAAAGTTATGGGCTTGGGAGAAATGAACCTACTATGTAGAATATATATTGAGTAGTGTGCCCAGCACCCTTGTAGATTTCGAAATTATTTCAAGAGGTCTGAGAGGAGAAATGATTTCCTCTTCACCAACATATCTTCCTGATCCCCTTATTATTATCTCTTTTTTTTCCTCTTTCATTGTCCAATTTAAAAATGGGAGGTGGTGGCCCATTTTTACAAAAGTCAGCTTAACCAGATTTTAAGAAAATTTGCACACTTTTATTTTTTGGCTGGTCGTGGGCCTTGAACTCAGAGCTTGGGCACCGTCCCTGAGTTTCTTTATGCAAGGTTAATGTTCTACCACTTAAGCCACAGCTCTGCTTCTGGCATTTTGTTGGTTAATTGGAGGTAAGAGTCTCATGGACTTTATTGTCTGGACTGGCTTTAAAGGGTAGCCTCAGATCTCAGCCTCCTGAGTAGCTAGGAATATAGGCATGAGCCACTGGTACCTGGCTTCACAGTGACTTTTTTTTGGGGGGGGGGGTCCAGTCGTGGAGCCTGAATTCTGGGCCTGGGCACTGTCACTCAGCTCTTCAGCTCAAGGCTAGCGCTCTACCACTTGAGCCACAGCACCACTTCCGGCTTTTTTCTTTTTGCTTATGTGGTGCTGAGGAATTGAACCCAGGGCCTCGAGCATGCAAGGCAAGCACTCTACCACTGAGCCACCTTCCCAGTCCCACAGTGACTTTTTTTTTTAAAGTATTATAAAGCAACATCTACTCTAAAAGGTAAACAAGGTTGAGGATGTAGCTCAATTTGTAGAATGCTTGCCTATTATGCATAAGGCACTGGGAAAGAACTCCACAGCACTCAAAGAAAGGCAGGCAGGCAGGCAGTACATTATACATGAAAAAAGAGACTGGGGATGTAGCTCACTGGTAGAGCCACTTGGCTAGTTTGTGTAGGGCTGTAGGTGATAGGGGAAGATTATAGTTACATTATCTTTTTCTTGCTTATTCTTCAGAGATAATTAGTATTTAGTAGCTTGGTATGGATCCTTCCATGTCTTTCATGTTTATAGAGAAATACATGGAGAAAATTACATTTTTTTTCCTCTAATAGGATTGTATTATATGCTAACTTATGCTCCAAAGTTAAAAGATGTGCTTTTAAAAAAATGGAAAGGAGAGAGAGAGACAGAGAGACAGACAGAGACAGAGACAGACAGGCCAGAGATTGTGATAATAGATTAAAGCCAGAGGCTTGCTTGTTCATTCCAGAGAAGCACTGTACCACTTAGCTACACTCTAGCTCAATGTATTTGTTTATTATTGGTAAAATTATTGCCAGATTGGTTTTAGGAAGGTTTAGTAAATCATGTTTGATAATAGTATGAGAATGCTTCTATTTTCTTATACAGTTTCTATTTTCGTATACAGTTTTCCTGTGGTAAATAAACATTTTTTTCTTTAAATAGCAGATGTTTATATTATTGAAACTAAACTACTTAGTTTTTCTCTGATAGTTTTAAAAAGTGATTGTAATGGTAAAATGAACTTCAAGATAAAAAGAATTTCTGTATTTTAAGACTACTAACTTAAAATGTCTCTTAAAATATGGATATGTTCAATCAGAACTTCTCATCCCCTACATAGGAATGTTTGATTTCTGGAATATGTACAAATCTGGGACTTTTTCATATGGATAAATGAGAGTTTTAGAAATGTATCCATCTGCATATACATCCTCTTGTTCATTTTAATAATGCTGTGTAGAAGGCAAAATGATTTTAGCTATTATAAGGGGAGATCGGCTATTAGTGTAATATTGTCACATGTCTTTGCTATATATTTTAAAATGGAAAATAAAGCATTGCCTTTAAAATTTAAGAATGTACCATAATAAAATATGCCACTAATTTGATATTGTATTATTTTTAAAGATCCTCAAGATGAAAATAAAATTGGAATAGATGGTATACAGCAGTTCTGTGATGACCTGGCACTTGATCCAGCCAGCATTAGTGTGTTGATCATTGCATGGAAGTTCAGAGCAGCAACACAGTGTGAGTTCTCCAAACAGGAGTTCATGGATGGCATGACAGAACTAGGGTGAGTATATGACTGCTATAGGAAATTAGACTCAAGACTATGAGGATAGGAATTGGACTGTCATCAGTTCTTAAATGTAATTTAATTTTCTACTGGCCCACAAATGAGTGAACATTCTAGTTCTCATGTGAAGTAGTTTTCTGGGTTTGTCAAGTATCTATAAAATTATTACAGCCTACTAAGTTTGGTGTTATTCACATCACTTGTTTCTAAGAGAGGATCATGAGAAAGTTAATACTGTATGCATTAATGGATATTAATGGGTTTAATATGGAAAAGTGAAATGAACAAGTTTAATGAAGTTTTTTCTTAATGTAAGGCTGTGTAGGATGGATTGATAAAGTGAAGACACCTTAGAAGTTATAATTGCAATTTGTCCCAATTGTGACTTGAGAACTGATTTATTGGATATGTATTTGGGTAAATAGATTGAAAAGTCATGAGTGGAGGTTTTACTTTGACCTTTAGTTGTCTGTTTTTAATGAGATTGCAGAAGTGTGTATGTAGGTATCAGGCAATCTTCTGTTTTTAGTGGGTTGCTGTTGAATAATAATAGCTAACATTAGTTGGCCAATATTTTAGTAACCATGCTGAGTGCTTTACTAAACTACATATTCACAAGTTTGTGAGTATTAAGGTACAAAGAAATTATAAAATGTAATATTAGAGCCAGGATTGCAGTCTGGATTCTGCTGCTTGAACTTGAGGACATTGTAATCAGTCAGCGTCCGCTCAAGGAAAATAAAAAGACACACTGGTCATTTGACCTGGGAAAATTTAACTTATTTGTTTTGCAGTGCTGGAGATTAAACCCAGGATCTCACAAGTACTCTACCATTGAGCTCCATCTACCCTAGCCCTGGCTAGGGGAAATTTAATTATGTGTTGTACTATGCAAAAGGAAATTCTTAAGATGTAACAGGTAGCAGTAACTATAGTCATCCCTTGGACTGAATAAAATGAAGAAACCAGGAAGGAATTTAGAAACTAGAGAGTTGCCAGTGAGGCTGAGATCCAGTTCTTGTAGGAGGGAGGGAGGGTAGAAGTGTTGGGAGGCTCAGTTGATATTTATTATACTTTATACATAAAAAAAGAAGTAAATTTCCAAGAGGAACATTTACTCATCTAAAGCAAGATACTGTGTTTCTAGTTAGTTTAGGAGCTGGGCATGTGATTAACTACTAAGTAAGCAGTTATCTCTTGCAGTTTAAACTGATAATTGTAAAGCTGATTATTATATATTTTATCAGTGTGTTGACAGTTCAGTGAATTATGTATTTAAAAGTAATAATCTATTTTTCAAAGTAATTATTTCTAACATTTTATCATTTCAAATCTCTTCTTCAGGGCTGGGAAGGTGGCTCAGTGGTAGAGCGCTTGCCTTGTATGCCTGAGGCCCTAGGTTCGATTCCCCAGCACCACATAAGCAAAAAGAAAAAAAGCCGGAAGTGGTGCTGTAGCTCAAGTGGTAGAGTGCTAGCCTTGAGCTGAAGAGCTGAGGGACAGTGCCCAGGCCCAGAGTTTAGGCCCCACGACTGGACCCAAAAAAAAAAAAAAAAACAAAATCTCTTCTTCAGCTATGCCCTTACACTAATTCCCCCTTAATCTCTGGTCTTGCTTTTTGAAGCTTTAGAGACTTATGACCAACTGTGATCCCAGATTATTAGCTGGAAAATTGCAGAATATAGACAACTCATCAGTTTTAAGTTGTTCATTGTTCTGAGTAGTATGGTAAATTTTTGTACCACCTGCCGGTCCTGTCTGGGATGTGTGTCTTCCCTTTGTCCAGCTTATCCAAACTGTAGATATTACTTACCCATTAGGCACTTAGTAATTTTTAGTTACCAGATCAACTGCTTATGTTCAAGCTGAAAACTGCTTCCTTTAAGTGAAAAGGTATAAGATATTTTGAGATAGAGCACATTTATGTAAGAGTTTTTTGTAGTATATTGTTACAATTTTTTTATTAACATTGTTAATCTCTTACTGTGCCTTACTTATAAATTAAACTTTTACATGTATATAGTATAGGAGAAAGTATAGCATATATATGGTTTAGTATTATCCAAGGCTTTAGTCATTTACTGTGGGTCTTGGAACATATGCTCTGTGGATAATGGGGACTCCTTTACTATTTATGTAAATATAAGAAGATAAAATTCTATATGATTTTTTAAAAAAAAGTTCTAGGAAATATAAACTTTCATTGGAAAAAAATCTAAGTTTTAAATTTATAGTGAGAAGTTAACCTTTTATAAACTTAATTTTGTAATATAGATGTGACAGCATAGAAAAACTAAAGGCCCAAATACCCAAGATGGAACAAGAATTGAAAGAACCAGGACGATTTAAGGATTTTTACCAGTTTACTTTTAATTTTGCAAAGAATCCAGGACAAAAAGGATTAGGTAAGACTATTTAAAAATTATATTTGGTGTTCAGATATATTTAAATACATTAATAGTATTGCCTTTGTAGAAGCATGTTTTGCATATAAACTCATTATGAAAATGCCAGTTTATTGGAAAGCATTGAGAAGCATGGGACTTCAGTCAGAAGATACAGGGCTACTCTGGGTACCATAGGTGAACCACTGATTTTTTTTTTTTACATAAAAACTATAAATACAGAAAATAAACAGTTGTTAATTTTCCACTGATATTTTTATATATGCTTTTATTCATAGATGATCCTTTAAAATAAAATGGTAAGATTTCTCAATCACAGAATACCATATAACTTTATTTTTTTAATTTGGAAACTAGAATAAAGACAAAATGATTATTAGTCATAAATCCTATTCAGAAATAACTGATGATAATAGAATCACTTAAGGATCTCACTTTGTTTAGATCAGTACTTTATACAGAAAAGATGCAGTATAATTACAAATTTCCTAAAATGATAATACAATCTAAATGAACATGGGGGTGAGGGGGGAGAAGGGAAGGGGAAACAAAGGAGGAGGCAACAATGCTTGATAAGAAATGTACTCATTGGAAGTGGCATTGTGGCTCAAGCAGTAGAGCGCTTGCCTTGAGCTGAAGAGTGCAAGGAAAGCGCCCAAGCCCAGAGTTCAAGCCCCATGACTAACCAAAGAAAAAAAAAAAGAAAAGAAATGTACTCATTATCTTGCCCATCTAATTGTAACTCCTCTGTACGGTATTTTCACAATTAAAAAAAAGAAAAAAAATGAACATAAGGGTTTTAGAAAAAGGGAGAAATGACTCTAAAATGCTTTCAGGGCAAGGTGACATGAACTAAAGGATTTAGTATTTTACTGGATAAGGGAACAGAAAAGATGTCCTCTGAGGATAGTTATAAATGAGGATCTAACATCTCAGAAACATGCTTAGATACTTTGTGAAAGAGAGGTGTTGGTTTGATTTTACTGGGAATGTTCATTTGGAGATGAAATTGGTGAGCTACAAAGAGGCTAATAACTGTAGGCTGCTTTTAGAAATGGGATAAAAAGGTTTAAATTGGAATTTGAGGGAAATGAAGACCCCCTGGTTAATCCTTCCAATCAAAGATTTTGATGTTGCTGTGATTTCTGCTAAATGCGAAATTGCAATATGCATGGCAGTTTACTAATGCTTCGTGTCCATTATACCAGAAACTGAATAATTTTATGAGTTAATTGAGTACCAGGTATGTAGTAAGAAAGAGCAGTCATTTTTTATCCTTAATGAGAAACTTAGGCATAAGGTTAAATGATTTGGAATGATGGAAGTGAATTTTGAGTCAAGGGCCTCATACATATTAGGCTAGAGCTCTACCACTGAGCTGCACCCCCTGATATTACATTTTTTTGAAGGTATAGTAGTTGGACAGACTAATTGGGTTCCTTGTACTAATTCTTAGTTATATTTTAGATGAAGTGGGGAACAGTATTGAGAAAAAGATTATATGACTAGGGGTTATATCAAAGCAGTTGAAAGAGAAGGGCTATGTATACTATTTGTAATTGTGAGTTACCCTAAAGTGGGAGTAAACATGATGGAATCAAGATTTTTGAATATTCCTAAAGCAAAATTTTGAATGCAACTTCCTTCTGGACTGATTGCTTTAGAGGTTGGATTTTACTTTTTATTTTTATTTCTAGTCAACACAGAGTAGTTGCATATATTTATGAGGGATAGTGTGACATTTAAAGAGGTGTACAGTGTGTAATGATCAGATCAGGATGGGTTTTTATTTTATAGGAAAAATCCTCATTTTGCGGACAAAATAAGCTGAGATATCTAGGGCAAGTTTCCATTATATGTAGCCATCAGTTGAGAGAGAGAGAGAGAGAGAGTGTGTGTGTGTGTGTGTTTTCTTTAGTTTCCTCTATCCTACAAATTAAAAAGCCCTTGAATTTGTATTCAAAGAACATTGGGTGCTGGTGGCTCATGTTTGTAATCCTAGCAACTTCGGAGGCTGAGATCTGAGGATCATGGTTAAAAGCTGCCAGGGCAGGAAGTCTGTGAGACTCTTATCTCCATTTTATCACCAGAAAAATGAGATGTGGTGCTGTGGTTTCTGTGGTAGAGTGCTAGCCTTGAGCTGAAGAGCTGAGGGACAGCTCCAGGCCCAGAGTTCAAGCCCCATGACTGTCCCCCTCCCCCCCAAAAAAGAACACTGTGGTAGGGTACCAGTGCTTGGGCCTACTTAGGCTGAGCTCTGAGGATTGTGGTTCAAAGCAAAGAGAGGAAAGTCCACGAGACTCTTAATCTCCAGTTAACTACCAAAAAATAGAAGTGGAACTGTGGCTCAAGGGTTAGAGTTCTAGGCTTGAGAAAGAAATAAAAAATCCAAACAACTTAGGATAGCTCAAGTGTTAGAGCACTAGCTTTGAGAAATTAAAACAAAAAAACAAAAAAAAACAACTACAACTTAGGGCGAGCGCCCAGGCCCTTAGTTCAAGTCCCACAACTGGTGTGTGTGTGTGTATGTGTCTCTCTCTTCTCTCCCCTTCCCCTCCCCTCCTTATTCCTCTCCCTTTCTTCCTTCTCCTGTCTCTCCCCCTTCCTCCCTCCCTCCCTCCCCTCTCTGTCTCACTCTCACACAGAATGGTGTGATATTTAAAATGTAACACTATTTTTATAAGATTAAACAATGTTGTGAATGTCAAATTGATTTAAAGAAACTGAATCTATTTGTTATTTATAATTTTACTCCTTATACGGGAGGACAAAAGAAAATGGTGTTTTAGTGAATAAAATAGTTTTGATTTTGAATCTGGTTTTTTATTGTACCATGAAAGTAAATGACCCCATCCCTCAGTTCTGGGGGGCCTTGCATTCTCTTGACTTGCTGGCCTTGCTGGGTTTTTTTTATTGTACCATGAAAGTAAATGACCTGACCCCTCAGTTCTGGGGGGCCTTGCATTCTCTTGATTTGCTGGCCTTGCTGGCATTCTGCCACTTGAATTTTGCCTGTAGCCTAGCTTTTTGCTGGTTATTTTGGAGATGAAGACTTTTCTGTCTGGGCTAGCTTCCAACCATGATCCTTGAGATTGCAACCTTCTAAGTAGCTGGAATTAAAGGCATAAGCCACTGACAGCTACGATTAAGTTTTCTTTCTTTCTTTTTTTTTTTTGGGGTCGGTCATGGGGCCTGAATTCTGGGCCTGGGTGCTGTCCCTCAGCTCTTCAGCTGTAGACTAGCGCTCTACCACTTGGGCCTTAGCCCCACTTCTGGCGTTTTCTGCTTATGTGGTGCTGAGGAATGGAACCGAGGGTCTCCTGCATGCAAAGCAAACGCTCTACGAATGAGCCACCTTCCCAACCCCAAAGTTTTTTGTTTTTTGTTTTTTTGGGTCCGGTCATGGGGCCTGAACTCTGGGCCTGGGCGCTGTCCCTCAGCTCTTCAACTCAAGGCTAGCGCTCTACCACTTGAGCCACTGTGCCACTTCCGGCTTTTTTCTTTTTGCTTATGTGGTGCTGAGGAATTGAACCCAGGGCCTCAGGCATGCAAGGCAAGTGCTCTACCACTGAGCTACCTTCCCAGCCCCTAACCCTAAAATTTTTATAACTATTGGATATATTAATATGATGTTAAATTGGAATTTTAGATTACAGAAAAAGTTTAAAATTATATTTAAAATAACTTACTTAAAAATTGTATTCTAGTATTGTGCTTTAGAAAATTGAAATACTGTTTAGTAGTTATAGAATTTCTTTTCTGAAAGATAAGGAGAAACATGGTAAATTTTATGTGTATTTAGCCACAAACAATATGAAGAGTGGACTCTGATACAGAAATAGCTTTGGTTACTAGTAATGTTTCCACATTGATTTTTCAATTAGAAAAATGTACCACACTATAGCAAGATGTTAGAATTGCTGGGAACTGAGATGGAAAGAAAAGAAGTCTATGAGAGGGGGGGACAAAAAAGAAGGGGAAAGTAGAAGTAATAGAAGACATGGTCTTTCTTTATTTTGCATTAATGTTAAGTGTTAGGAAAAGTTATGACTTATTTGATGAGCTCAATTAAAAAGAAAATTTCCTTGGCAATCTCTTTTTTTGCCAGTCCTGGGGCTTGAGCTCAGGATCTTGGCACAGTCCCTGGGCTTCTTTTGCTCAAGGCTAATGCTCTATCACTTGAGCAATAGCACCACTTCCGGCTTTTTCTGTGTATGTGGTACTGAGGAATCAAACCCAGGGCTTCATGCATGCTAGACAAGCACTCTACCACAAAGCCACATTCCCAGCCCTTGACAATCTTTCTAAAGGTTCTCGGGGCTCTTAAATGACAAGATTTGGCTGAAAGAAGGCCTTAGTAGAAGAGGTGAGGCCCAAAGAAATTGGCAAAGAGTGACAGTGACAACATTAGTTTGTTAGTAAAGAGCCGTGCTAAATTACGAGTACTGTTGTTTTCCCGCTTTTTATATAACTAGTCTCTCGCTTATGGATCCCAGGATCTTCTACATGCTAGTCAAGGGCTGTGTAATAAATCTACACCTACTGCCCAATAATCATTTATTTTTGACACCAGAATAGAGTGCTTCTTCTACCACTATCTTCTTTAGATACCTATCATTTCTGTGGTGATTTGAACCTTGAAGTTGGAAGAGATTTCTTAAGTCCTCTATCAAATCTATAACCCACCCAAAGTAGCAACCTTAACTAATAATTCTCATTTAACTTTCAAACAAACAGGGACTGAACACACTTTGTCTTAAGACGTTCTATTCTCACAAAAATTTACTTATAACATGGTTCTTTCTTCCTGCGATTATATCTTTGTCTTTATAACTTCCATCCTTGTTCTTATTTGTCCACTAGTGCAGCATAGAGAAAGTCTAACCACTTAAAGATCACTATCACTCATCTTTTGTCTTTTTTTTCTAGGTCAGCATTCCAATTTAACCTTTTAATTTGAAGAGATGTTTATTACTCTTATATACACATTTCTAGTTTGT